GGGCGCAGATTTTGCTGCTTCCGTATCCTTGCGATCCACCCTGAGCCGTCCAGGTGCCCAGCCATACAACTGCTCAATGACTGATCTCAAGGAGAGGGTACTGGGAGCAGGAGATTGGACGACCAGACCTTCGTTCAGACCGCCTGTACGTTGTAGCCATGATCTGCCCGCCAGCTCTTCGGCTCTGGCTTGAGCGAGTAGGTAGACGGGAGAAGATTGTAGAGCTTGAGCTAGGTGTGTTTCTGCAGCGATGCGATAGGAGAGCGTGTTGTGTGAAAGGAGGAGGAAGCGGCAAAGACAAGAGAGGATGGAATGTCTCGTTAGCGTGTGCTGCACTTGTGTTGCGCTGCGAGATCAGCCGAAACACTTACCGCACTGAGTCAACCTCTCTTTGAGCTCGACGACTTCGTCTGCTAGGCCTGCGTGCAGCGTACGTAGCTCGCGCGCTCTTGTCAAGGCTGCATCTTTCGTGTCCGATGCTTCCCTCGTCGCTACAAGGCTTCGTTCAAGCGATTTGAGCCTCTCTTGAGTCGCTCGATGCTTCATTAAGCGAGTACATGCAAATTTGAATGTAAGCTAGATCACGCGAGGTCTCAAGAACACGCTCTCGTGACACTTTTGCAAATGTGCCACGCGGACCGTTATCCGCAAACGTGTCCCTTTCATCTGCGTAGACTCACTTGAGAAGCACCATCCTTCAATTCTTGCAAAGCGACGGCAATTTCTCGTCTCTCTTCTGCTTGGCCTCTGGCTAGCCACACGTAGCCCACCAACGCAGTTCCTGAAAATCCTAGACCTAGACCTGTCAATAGTGCGCGCAGAGGACCCAAAGGTCTTCGGATGACCGGTGCGCCCAACACTTTGGGCTGATAGGATTGGGACATGGTGATCAGCGAGCAGACCTTGATTCGTTCGGTGCCCTGGCGACGATGAGCGGTGTGTGAATGTGGGCTGATCGATTCGTGTCGGTGGTGGACGAGTCTGGGTGGATAATGGAGCGTCGCTGTGACTGAA